TTTGCATTCTGGCAAATGTCTGTGATTTGGGGGTGGTGTGGTGAGCAGCATCTTTGTTTCTTACTATCTCTACTCTATCCCATTAGTGAACACATGAGCACACAGTTCCCTATGACAAAATCCCTCAGGCAACTAAAACTGGAATTGGGGATTTGTTCAAAGGTAACCAACAATCCCCTTGGCCTTCTTCTGGAAATACAGTGTTGAGGAAGCCAGTAAGTGGATAGAATTATATCCCCCCACCAAAATGTACATTCTATCCCTTACTACTGATACCTATATATATGACCTTATTTGTATATAAAGTGTTTGAAGATGAATTGAATTAAGATGAGGTCATCTTGGCTTAGAATGGATTCAAATCCAGTTACTGGAGTTCTTATAAGAAAGACATTTGGACACAGACATACAGGAAAGAATGCCATATGAAGACAGAGGCAGAAATTGGAGTGATATATCTATATACCAAGGAATGCCAAGGATTGCTGGCAGCCTAGAGGCTAGGATAGAAGCATAGACCAGGTTTTTTCTGTGTCTTCAGAAGCAACCAGTTGTGCCAACACCTTCATTTTGGACTTCTGACCTCCAGAAAGCTGAGTGAATACATTTCTGTTCCTTGCTATGACCACCCTAGAAAACCAATATGATCCACAGAGTAAAAGTACTCTTTGTTTATAGGCATAGAGCTGAGTTAAGGTGTACACTTTGCACCCTCTAGTTCTATTCTGAATATTTTTGGCATCCTGTTTCATAGATAGATGAGAAAACTGAGTCTTAGAAAAGTAAAGTGAATTTCCCAAGGTTGCAAAGCTAGTATATGGTGGAATTTGTATACCTGTTGTATCAATTAAAATTCACTACAGGAACAGATTTAATATATATGCCATAAAAAGGATTTACAAGCTGGCCTTAAATGGCTGCCTGCAGAGTCAGTAGTGGAAGAATGCAAAATGGCTGCCCAGAAGATTCAGTCAAAAATTGAAGGCCTAGAGCTCACTGTGGAGTCTTCTGTGCTGGTAGCCTGAAGGAACTAAAGATGAATGTCCAAAGGTGATAGTGAAGACCAGAAGTCTTCTCAAGAAGCAAAAGGGAAGACTTCCTTCTTTCCCTTTTTGTTTTATGCAGGCTATACACCTATTAGTCGGTACCATCCACTTGGTGTGGGTCTTCCTCAGTTTTCAGCCTACATGTCAACCATCCATAGGTAGACATATCCAGAACTGTATCCCACTAATCTGCTAGGTGTTTCTTAATCCATTCTGGTCCACAGCACAATTAACTATCATACCACATCTTCTGACACTGAAGTCCGTGCCTTAACCAGTAGAGGGCACCACTCCAAGGCAGAGGCCAAGATTCCAACCACACTTCACCACTGGGATTTGCTGGTAAAGTTTATCACAACAAACTTTCTAGCCAGGAACTCTTGGCTACTTTCCTCTATTTTACTTGCTGTCAGTGCCATTTGTCACATCTCTCCCAGAAGATTCTTGGGTAACAGATGTGGCTTGGAATTTGATAAGAACATCCCTTCAACACATCCTTCCAATCTGTTTGGAATCCTCACCCTGGAGATAGAGGGACAGCTGAATAAACAGCCCACGCCCTCCATGCTGGTATTAAAAGTTTCTGCAAGCTCCGAACCACATGAGACAATTAAATAAAACATAATTTCCACTTAAGGAACAGCATAGATTGTAGTCATCGCCATTGCTAGTGCTATGGCTATTTTTTAAAGTTTTCTTTCCCCTGTAAACGTAAGTGCCTAGGATGTGCAAAGCACATGATTTGATAATTTAAAATGCTAAATAAGTAACAGTGTGGGGTTGAGAAAAAATGTGGAAAGGGCATGTAATGATTGATATTTAGAAAAGCTTATATTAAAGTAAGTGACACAGGTACAAGCAGTCCAGGTGCACAGAAGAAGGAGCAGCCAAGTTTTTCTAAGTGGATCATCAAATTTATAGAAGGAGGTAACATCTGAGCTGACTCTCAGATTTTCTAGGCAGTGGAAGAGTATGGAAGGGCTTTGCCGGCAGTGGAATAGAATGTTCAAAGGCAACGAAGGAACAAGACGTGGTCACAGAATTATTTGGCCCTTAGTCGCCAGTGGCTGCCATTCGCATAGTATGGTCGAGCTGCAGTTTTAGAAACTTTCCTTGGTCAGGTAAGGTGTTCTCTCTGAGCCTTAATTTGTTTACCTGCCCATTGGACATAACTGAAACAGGTGTAGATGGTTACCTTTGTTTCTGGGAGAAATTTCCAGGCCTTCTCTCCTATTTATCTTTCATGCAGAGGGCTAAGATATCTTATTATGACTGCGTCTGTGCTTATACTATCCAAGAACCCTCCTGTCTGTCCTTAGTGAAGAAGCAGGGGAGGCCCAGCATTCAGGATTCTTGGATGATGACTTGACCATTAGCCATGGGTCAGTGAGGGAGTCCACTGTCCAGGACAGCTCAGTACTGAGCCCCTCCCGCTGTACGCTGTCTTCCAGCTGAAGACTCTTCCTCCTGCCATCTCCATCATGCTGCTTGTTTGCACTCCAGCCACGTTACCTCTCTTGCCACTTCTGTACTTGCACAAACCCCAGTTTTCTCTGAATTTTGAGAGCAGAAAATTCCCTCTCTCAATCTGACTCTTCACAACTTCAGCCAGTGGCTTCTTTCAGTCATTGTTTCTGCCATGGCAAGGACTGGGGAAGGGAAAACAGTCCTTGGGCACCAGGGCGAGAACAGAGGAAGGGAATAAATTGAAGCACATGTCTTAACTCTATGAGCTTGCCTTATCACTGAACCTGGTAGCTCTGTTTTGAGGACTAGTCAATACTCCACTCAAATGAGCAGTTTTTGTATTTGATTGTGGTACTGGGGGAAATGGAGGCTGAGAGAAGGCTGATGTCTGTCAAAGTGATGGTCACAATTCCTGTGTCCGCATTGCCACCGCTAGCTATAATAAGAAAGAAGACAGTGGAAGCAGGGGATGAGGAATTTGTAAACATGTGAGTTCGGTATAGATGCTTCAGTGTACAAATGTAAGAGTCCAAAAGCTTCTGAGCACAAATCCACTTGAACCTTTTATAAGAGCAAGATGGCGTGTGCTGAGCTCCTGCCTCTAAGCCATTTTGTGTGTCACTCTTTCTTGCCTCCCTCTCTCTGTTGCATCCTCTGAGCCCCAGAGGAGTCAGTCTGAGAACTTTATTTCATTAAACTGTTTGGAGTTTTTTCTGGATCTCAAATGGAGCATTAGAAGTAGGAACTTTATTTTTTAATTGTTTATTGGTACACTTAGTTTATATATAATGATCACATTCATCATAGGGAATTTGTACCTATATATGATATAACTTGGTTTCTTCTTTCTCCCCTATTCCCTTCCCCCCATTTTGGCCCCTCTTTCCCTCCTTATTCACAAAAGCTTTGTTTCCATTTTTTTCATTCTTTTCTCATTTTTTTCCTTTTCCCTTCCTTCTTTTCCCCAAGCCCCTTTCTTAGGTCCTCTTCCATTTGAAGATTTTGTTCATATTTCATAAGATCTTTTATACATTTTGGTCTTTATTTAGCCTTTCAGTTTCTCACACCAGAGAAAAATACAGTATTTTCATGTGTGTCTATGTCTCAGGGTATATCCATTTACTTAGAAATGTCTCAAGTTTATGACTGAGTAGTCCTCCCTTGTATAAAAAAAAAAAACCCACGTCCTTATCCATTCATCAGCTGATGGACATTTGGGCTATTTCCAAGATTTATCTATTACAAACTGTGCTGCTATAAATGTGGATATGCATATATCACGGTGGTATGATGCTTTTTATTCTTTCAAGAAGATACCAAAAAGGGAATAGCTGGGTTGAATGGAACCTCTAACGTTAGTTTTTTGAGATCCCTCTGCACTGATTTCCACAGTGGTTGCATCAGTCTACACTCCACCAACAAAAATTTTAATCAGATAGAGTTGCATCCAAATCTTGGCCTTGCCTTAGATGAATTGTGATGTAGCAGATTACTTACCTTCCTACACCTCAGTTTCCGGTAAAATAGGATTCATAGTGGTATCTACTACCCAGACTCTTATGCAAAGTAAATGAGGATTAACAAGTGAAACCCACCAATTATTTAGTACATTGATAAGTGATCAGAAATTCATGGTGATAACAGTATTGTTTGCAATGAATCCAACATGGAGCATGCTATAAATACTTGACTCTTATTATTTCTTCCTTCAGGAAGCCTCCTGAAAGCACCTAGGCCTCTGCATAGGGTGGTCTTGCCTTGGGGTTCCCAAAAGCTTCCTGTGAATAGTACCTGCTGGATGTGATTTCCTGTGGCATGTTTAATACCAGCGATAATGATATATCTATAAGCTGTACCCATTAGTTGGCCCTGTTTGTGACCACAGCTCATAGAAGCAAGCCCCAAGACAACAGGAGAAGTTGTTAAAATATTACAGTAATCACCCCTCTAATTAATTGTCCAAAGTCTTTTTTCCTCTCTGGACTTTAGGGTCAGAGAATGTGTCTGCTTATTTCCTTGCTGCTTCCCCAGGACTTAGCAGGCTCCTAAAGAGCATTGCATAATTGGATGAATACAAGAACAAGTGTCCCACATGCAGTTTTATCAGACGTTCACTCATTACCTCTTTAAGTAAGCCTTTATTGAATATCTACTACCTGCCAGCTACTATTGTAGGGACTGGGGCTCTGCCATTGAATAAAATAGGCAAAGATACTTTTTTCATAGGGTTGTTATTCTAGCCATATTGTCTAGGCATTGTTACATATCCCAGAGGAATCAATACCTGGTCACTTTTCCTGGAATCTTCCTCTTTTGAGTAGGCTCAACCATTCAAAGGATGAGGTTGATGGGAAGTGTCATCCATTGTCTCTGAGCTAGCCAAGAGCATCTCTGCACAGCTGGGAGCCATTTTCAATGGAATCAGGTGCCCACAGCTGTCCCCCAGATCCTTTCTAGCTATTCTAATGCCGTCATTTTCTTCTCCAGGTCATGCTGTCAGAACGAAAGGGCACAGATGAGCTCTATGCTGTGAAGATCCTGAAGAAGGACGTGGTGATCCAGGACGATGATGTAGAGTGCACCATGGTGGAGAAGCGGGTGCTGGCCCTACCGGGGAAGCCACCATTCCTGACCCAGCTGCACTCCTGCTTCCAGACCATGGTAACTTGTCCAGTGGGCCTGAACAGCTGTCTCCTGGGTTTCCCCTAGGCATTAGCCAAGGCTGTACCAATAGTGCCCACCCAACAAGGCACCTAGACTCTTCTTATTCGAGAAACAGAAAGATATTGGGCTGAGGGGAGTCAACTGAGAATTCCCAAGGTTGCCTCTGAGAAACATTCTCCCCTGAGGCAGATACTGTCCCAATTCAGATAAAGGAACTCAAGCAATTAGTTTTATAATCAACAGAGCAGAACTTTGCTCTAACAGCAAGGGGTAACTTGGGGACAGGAACTCAATGCAGAGGCCCACAGACTGTGCCTCAGATCGTTACAGTCACTTCTTCAGACCCTTTGGAAAAAATGCATCAGTACATCTATGCAGGTTGCCTGAGGCCTTTGCTGAGCCCCTTGAAAATGGGTGGCTGGGAGGAGAGCCTCAGGAGGACAGCTGGAGCTAGGCATAGTGTCGTAGACAAGAGCCACTGAGCTTAGAGCCAGGGTGCCAAGATGAGAAGGAAACATTTGTGTACTATCTGCCGTTGCCTGTGATTCCAGCTGTCTGTGAAAGCAAGAGCAACCCCTGCGGGTAAATCCTTACTCTTGTCTGGTTCACATTAGTCCTTGACCTCTACAGCTGAGGAGGAAAAGGACAGAGCTCAGTGCAAAGTGGTACAAAGTTAATTCTTGCAGTTGTGGCTTCCAAAGGCTACAGGCCTAATAACTTAAAAGTACTTTAAGGGATTCTTCAAGATTACTCTTAACTTTCTTCAGTTCTCAACCTACATCTGATTTGAGAGCCCATTTTCTATGTGAAATGGGCTGCTATTGTGTTTTGCATCTAGTTTGATGTGTCTTATAAGTGTTCAGGGATCTCTCTTATCTCTTCCATCTTTTTCTTTTGTCTGTTCTTTTACCTACTGAAGATCCTGGGATGTTTGGTCTATAGCATTTTCTTACTCTGGGCTTTGCTGACTGTGTACCCTTGGTGCATCTCAACATGCTTCCTCTCTCCTCTATTTCCTGTAATTTGGTGGTTGTATTCTTCCATCCAAGGCACACAATGTCCAGTTGTCTCTCTTAGTGACACTGGCAGCAGTTAACACTGAGTACCTCGACCCATTGATTTGTTAGATACTGTAAGATTGTTTTATTGTCATTTCCTAGTTGGCGTGCTTTATAAAGAGGGGCTTCCCCATGTTGGTTCCCTGATGCTCCAGTTCATATAGAAAAGGTAAAATAAGTGCTTGATATTTTCCTTTATTTAACAGTTTTCAAGACGATAAATTTGGTCACAATTGGGCTCTAAGACGGACTAGAGTTTGCTTTTAAAATAAAATATTTTGAATGCAAGAAGGGTCAATGTACATAAAAGTATCAAGTAAATGATAACTTATATGAGGACTTGGTGAAGTCAGGGGAAAAGGGGATCTAAACCTCTAAATTTATCTTCAGGAATTTATTCTCTTATTAGTCTAAAATCTCTAACTTTACCTTGGGAAATTAAGACCTGAAGGTATTCAGGTGGTAACAGAGATAGGACTTAAACCTCTAGGATTTAAACTTCTCAATTAGTGATGGGGAATCTTTTAGAGCTTTCCTTGATCAAAACAGCCCACTGAGGTACACATGCGGTAGGTTCACCACCACTGGTACTCTCCCATTCTGTACTGTCTCCTTATACGTATGTGACGGTCCACAGATTAACTCTTGTGCACCATCAGAAGGACAGCCTTAATCTGCTAAATGTGCTAAGAAGAAAATTTCCTTATTAAGGAAGACACCAAGTAAACCTGGAGCAGAAGTTTTAAATTTCAGTTGATTATGCTGAGATTAGGAGCACTTATGATTAATATTCATTAAAGTTTAGCCTGTTCACTGCTGACTATTTTGATAATGACAACAGAGAGTGAATTTGAGGTTATGCTTGTAAGTGTTGAGCTACCTCACTCACCTGTATTTCAATATGTTTTCTGACAGTAGAGAGTAAGTACTGGAATTACATGGAAATTATACAGAACTCTGGTTGTAACCTCAAGGAGTTATCACCTGCCACGAAGGAGAGAGGAACAGCCAGGAGACTCCAGCATGCAAGAGCTCAGTAGAGTTGTGTCCTGCATGGGGGTGAAGGACATCATGTTGGAGACCCATACAAAGTCTCCCAGTCCAACAAGGCTAGGGGTAGACCAGACTGAGTTCTTGCTACTCAAGGAACATGTGAAGTAACTGACCTGGCTCTAGGGGCGGTATTGTTTGAGAGGGAAAATCCTTGAAACAATGCACTCACTGTAAGCAGGAAGCCTAGTAGGCTAAGTGAAGCGGGCTGAGGGAAGAGCAGACACCCCAATCCATCTCACCTGAAGTTTTGCACATATGCTCGTGGAGTGAAATGCCCCAATTTAAATTACATTTTTCTCACTTTTTTTTGGCTAAGCACATAGATTTTAATTTTACATGAATTAAATTGTTTTTAAGGCATCATAATACCTACTCTATATGAGGCACAGAGTTAGCAATTTCAAGTATATAACAACTCTTATGAATCTCTCCATCATTCCCAGAGTGTAGATGAGAGAACTGAGGCTGCATAGCTGGCACATGTCAGGGTCAGGATTTGAATCCAGGAAAATCTCCTCCAAAGGACCTTGTAATTATGCACTATATTATATGGTGTCTTAAGTGCAGATCACCTGTCTGGTAGTTCACCTGACATCTCAAGGACAGAATCCTCACCAACCAGCCTGTTTATAGTCTGTACCAGGAGCTTGTGCTCTAACCCACCCTTGTTCACCTCTAACCTGCTCAGTAAAGTCACATAGTGCCTCCAGCCCTTGGTTTCTCCATCTTTGAGATGGAACTAGTTTCTGTCTGAGCATTTGCCACATGTGGGTCTTCAAAAATGTTTTATTCTAGCTATACAAAAATCTTTCCATGGAACGGATTATCTGATATTCCACTTGACAGGCAAAAGGGTTAAGGATTGAGTGTGCATGGTAAGTTATCCCTAGACACAACCCTGAGTCACCAGCCAGTTGAACTTAGAGCCTTCCTTTTGTTAGTATATTGTATTGAGCCATACTAAGATGGCCTTGATGGTGTAGTGTTCTAAACAAGAACCAAAAGCATCAGTGAACAGCAGTGAGCACCCCAGTTTGTCGCTGTCCATGCTAAGCCCTTTCATTGCATTATCTCAAAGTACCCTCCCAGTACCTCTGTTGGAGAGGTGCTGTTATGAATCCCAGTTTACATTTAGACTATGTAGTAACTTACGCAATGCCAAACAATTGTTCAGATACATAGAAGGGGAATAACTAGGTTAAATATTATTTCTAGTTTTAGTTTTTTGAGGAATCTCTATACCGATTCTCATAATAGTTGTTTAATTCTCACCAACGATGCAGAAAGTTTCCTTTCCTCCTATAGCCTAGCCAACATTTGTTACTGATTTCTTGATGATAGCTATTCTTTCTTGAATAAACTGCTATATTGGTGTTGTTTCGATGTGCATTTCTGTAATGACCGGTGATGCTGAACTTTTTTTTCATGTATTTATTGACCATGTATACTTCTGAGAATTGCATTGCCCATTTTTGATTGTCTTTTATTTGGGAGTATCTAAGGTTTTTGAGTTCTTAATATATTCTAGATGTTTATTCTCTGAGAAATAGCTGGCACAATTTTTTCCCATTGCATAAGTTGTCTCTTCATTTTGCTGGTTGTTTCCTTTGCTGTGAAGAAGCTTATAGTTAAAAAAACATCATATTACAATGTCACATACATAACCATGTTAATATCAGCACAATTCATAATAGCTAAATGTTGGAAACAGCTTATATGTCTGTCAACAGATGAATAGATTAAGAAAACATAGTATTTTTACATGATGAAGTACTCTCATGCCATGAAAAAAGATACATTTCAGTCATTTGTGGACGAATGGATGCACCTGGAGACCATTATGTTAAGTGAAGTAAAACAGACCCACAAGATTAAATATTGCATGATTTCTCTCATATAAGAAAACCAAAGTATAAATAATGAGCAAAAGAAAAGATAATAGAAAGTAGGAAGATAGATCTTTTGCTCCGGGCTGGAGGTTTAGCTCAGCGGCATAAGCGCCGGCCTTGCAAGCAGGCAGTCGTGAGTTCGATCCCCGGTACTGATAAAAAGGAAAAAGACAAAAAAAAAAAAAAAAAAAGAAAAAAGAAAAAAGAAATGGGGGGGGATGAAAAAGGAACTGAGGTACATTATGTACATGTACACCCCACAAGGAATGTGATCATTAAGTGCTACATAAATATATGCTCATAAAAAATAAAAGTTTTTCAAAAGACATACAATCAGTCATCAGTGGAGCTGGAATCTATTCCAAGACTCCAGAGCTCTAGAATGGGAAAGCTTTGCTATACTTTCCATACCTCTGGATTATAAAATAGTATCACCATCATGATCATTTGTAATCTTCATTAGAGCATTCTGAGTGTTACTTCCCATATCTCTGTCCAAAGGAAACCAATTTCCAGAAAGATAACAGTGACTTGGGTTACCTAATGGATAAGTGGGGATCCCAGAATGTGAGCTCAGGTTTCCTGAACGGCTCTCTGGATGTTCTTTCGCCTATGAAAGTCTCCCTTCTAGCCTGCATATGCATTGCAAAAATTAGGTAAATTTTCTCCATCAGAATGAGTAAGTTTAGTAAGCACTATATACAAACAAGAGGTGACTAAAAGATACAGTGCGTTTACATTTTAATATTTTACTATAGTAGAAGACATACTGCCATTAATTATCCTCAAAATATTCCCTATTACACTTGCCACTTTCTGAGTTCTGGAAGTTCTTTTCTTATAAATGTCTTCACGTATATAATACTATGACTGCTGCTACCCAGTGCCATCCAATGGAAAGTCAGACTAATAAAAAGACTGTGGTCCTCATCCACCGTATTCACTGGATCTGGCACCATGTGACTTCTGGCTCTTCCCCAGAGTCAAAATAATCATG